GAGTCAAAAGTAAATGGCAGCCATGTTAAATGTTGCACATCAAACAACTTCAGACCATTTGTAAACTATGGGAAAGATCCAAAAGTGTGGAAATTGAGTGCCACATGAATTGAATGAAACACGAATGGAAAACAGAAAAAACACTCGTGAAATTTTGTTTCAAAGACACGAAAGATAGGTTTGCATCGAATTGTCACTGACGATGAAAAATGGATTTATGTTTAGAATCCTTTACGGAGAAAATTATTGGTTAATCCATCAACGTCGACCGCAAAAAAAGATCGATTCGGTTGAAAGGCAATGCTCTGTGTTTGGTGGGATCAGAAGGGTGTGGTATATCACAACTGAAACTGCTGTATTCACCAGACTTGGTACCTTCCGATTATCATTTGTTTTTATCGATAGGACACGCATTGGCTGAGCAGCACTTCGATTCCTTCGCAGAAGTCGAATATTAGGAGTCTGGTTTTTTTGCTATTAACATGTTATTCACAAATTACCAGAAGGGTAGTCAAAATGTGTAAAAAGCAATGGTCAATACTTTGAATAATTTTTTTTTTTACTTTCCCATTCAAAATTAGTATATTATTTTATACCGGTACACCTGGTATTTGCTGCAATTACTGGAGAACATACAACATTTTGAATCCCTTTTACAGATGTATGTATACTTCTTACCTCCTTTGGGCTGAAGGAACCACCCCCAATTCCAGAAATTGAAGTTGAATTGCAAATTTAAAATCGGACCAAACCTTTTACTTTTGACTCAAAGTATCATCTTGATCCAATATTGCTTGCAGTTTGGCGTCTTCAAACTTTTTTGGTGGTCTTCCACGTTCATCATTTCTCACATCCAAATCATTATCTCTGAACCGTTGAAACCATCTTTTGCATGTTGCTTCGACAAGCATTCGATGCGACTCTGCAGTACTTTTCTTAAAAAATTAATGCTTTCCGCAAATCACTTTCCGGTAAAATTTGACATTCCCAACACAAAGAAAAAAGATGATGTTGTTTGTTTAATGACTGACTGATGTCATGCCAACCAAACAAAAAAAATTAAGGCTCGTTCACAACATATGTTCCCTATTAATGTATTTGAATCTTAAGGCTCACTTAATATCGGTTATTTGGATTTTTT